TATATATATATATATATATATATATATATATATAGAATGAGAGGAACTTGTATGTAGGTTAAAATAGTTGCTACATGGATTCTTACACTGGGTTGCCGAATATTCATAAAAGGGCAAAACATCTTATGAATTTCCACTTGCAGGCCCGTTTTCTGTTGGTAAAATTGAACCCCTCGGCTACGTATAACTCAAGCCATGACGTGGCCTCTGGCATGGACGTGATCTTCACTGATGATGTGAGCTTACAAGTCTTCTTTGAGCACCTTCAAAGGCTTGCTGTGCAATCATAAGCCATAATTTATGTGTAGATTTTGCCAATTTTTGGTTTTAGTTTGCGGGATAATTTAGTTGAGAGTTTCATTTGATTCCCTTTGCTTTTTCTCCCTTTTTTTTTTTTTGTAGTCTTTTACCAATGCTATCTTTCTATTGTTGGAATAAGTCTTTATCATTCTTTTGGATAGCAAGCGCTGGCTTCCAAGGTTTATTTAAAGGGAAATGAGTGGGAGTCCATTTAATCAAATATATTGCCTTCCTGATTTCACACCTCAAAAAAACGAGCACTTGTCTTTCAATTTTCTTCTTGTTATTTTCTGGAAATTTACAACATTTACATTATTGTCGATGCTCAAGTCTCCACATGCAAAATTAACCATGCAATTGTATTTTATCGAGACGCGTCAAATTTACCTGATGATTCGGGAACCTGTTTCTCTTACTCACCCGCTCCTCTCTTAATTTCCCCCCTCCCCTAGCACCCTGTTTTCTGACCTCGACTTTTCTCTTTCATGCCCTCTCTTCCCTCTCTCTTTGCTGCTGTCAAAATCCCCCCTTCCCCATCTTCCAGGCACTCCTATCTTGTCCTCTCACCCCCGTTCCCCTACTGCCGTCCCCCTTGTTCCTTCCCAAAATTTTATGTCGTCTTTGAAAATCCAGACCTCAATGTTCTCCAAGGATTCTCTTGGGATTTGAATGGTTAAGGATGAGAGGGTGGATTGGATGGAAACTTTGCCAATAAGTTGCATGGACAGCCCTCTATAATTTAAATTAGCACAAAATATCTTTAATCGGAATCTGACTCTTCCCTCTTTCTCGGAACCGAGTGTTAAGATGATCAAAGATTTAGATCAGCCTCGGATTGTGCCCATGGATTGGCCACCACAAGTAGCTGGCTAATTACCCACCTGTTGAATGGAGCTTGTCAACCTAAAAGGAAAAGGAATGGCGGTCTGGAGAATCTGGTAGGGCATGGTTGCTAATTGGAAACTGGGAATTCTATTTGAAAGTTCTAGTTCCATGGAACCTGGAATTGTTAATTTTTGGGAGTTCTGGAATACTTATTTGATAATCTGTTCGGAACTTCTTGAAGACAGATATCACGCTTCATAGCGATCAAAGAAAAGCTTCACAGTGACTAAGGTTTATGGCTTCACACACACATATAATATGGTCCCAGACGACTTAAGAGAGGTAGGACACCTGTTGGAGAGCGAGAGGACAAAAAGGAGGTGGCTAGGGTGAAAATTGAGTTACTGAGGACCCAAAGAAAGGACGAAGAGAGAGAAAGAAATGAGAGTCAAAAGTCATGGTGAGAAGAGTGCATTGTTAGGGAGGATTTAGAGAGAGAAAATTGGCACGGCTACAGACTTAAAAAGAGAGCTCGCACACAGAAAAGAAACTTATATTAGTGTGAGACTCTAAACAATCAAATTAAGGCACACCCCATAAATTTCATTAGAAGATGTTTTGATTCCCGAATATCTTCAAATTGATAATCCCAATCACAAGATGTATGGATATGGGAAAAAAATAGATTTCAAGTTTTGAAAATAGTGTATTTTTTAATGCATTTTTGAAAATATGAAAATACATTTTAAGGCTATCACAAATATTTTCAGTATTAAATCCACATTTCTCAACACTATTTGAAGGTGCATTTTACTTTGATTGTGTAGTGCTTTTGGCTCTGTATAAACTGCACCCATATATGGACTACGCAATACCTATTGGCGAAAATGAATAGTATTTTTGTCCATAGGCTCATCACCATCCAAAAAAATCGGATAGCGTGTGTTTTTCGATCCCCATGAACATGTTAGGTCTGTGACGGTAAAAAAATTCACTTGAATCCACAATGGACGGTGTGTCGTCTGTTGCGGGTCCATTCAATGAACCGCCACAGATATAGCAAGTCTGTGGCGGTGGC